CCCCATACCTGCTGTAATTAAACTCACAAGTTGATACATAAATGAAAGTTCTTTGTGAATGGTGGGTACTGTACAAATGGTGGGTTTTCACTTTTATTGTTACCATTGTTTTTGTTGTTTCTGGCCATGTGGCACTTACAGACTGCTATTTATTTAATGAATGTTGTTTTATGATTATAGATGTCTTTATTAAAAGCTCATAATCACTCATTTTCATCCTTAGGGTGATTCAAAACACCTACAACTTCTTGCATGCCTGGTTATTACTTTCTTTCATAAGCTGAACTGCATAAAAGATTTATCCAATGCTTAAACCTTCTTGAGTTTTATAGTTGCTCATAATCTCATTGTGCAATTTTTGTGAAATGTGGCAATATGGATCTTTACAGTGAATGATTTTGTAAACCAGAAAAAGGATACTAATAAAATACAGTTTTATTCCTTTCTTTGAGTCACTTTTTTAAAGGATAAGTTTAAAAAAAAATTTTTAATGTTTTCTGTTAACTTCTCAGTAGTCTTAGAAGCCTCCAGCCTTGGTCATTTTCTCTGGGATATAATGAGGTTTTAATCTAAATCATGAATTTGCTGTTTTCTTAGAAGCTGTTTAACTCACTGGTTCATCTTCTCCTTCTCCAATTTGGAATCAAGTACAATATTTCCACTGGGTCATTTTTACATATTCTTTTACTTTTTTTTTTTAACAAAGGAAATTAAAAATGTGATTTTTCTTTTATAGATGCCACCTTGCTTGGCTCCTTTATCTAATTGTATCTTTATGTAGTTATTGTATTATGGTTGTTAAGCTAGTACCATATTTTTTTGAAAGAAGAGTCTCATATTTATTATTTGATTATTTTATATTTATTTGTCTCCGTGTCTAAGGCTGTTGTCCTAGGTTAAATGCTTAAATTTGACCTTTAGGTCAAGCCCTTTCGTTACATTTCCCTTGGACCTTTGTAATAGCTTCTTCCAAAGATCTCTCTACTTTCATTTTTTTTACTTTTTCAGATTTTCTACGTATCACCTTCAGAATATTCTTCCCAAATCATTTAAAAATATATATAATCCTCCCTTCTCAAAAACATTGCCTAAGTAGTAAAATGCACACCCTTTAATCTGCCATAACCTAGTTCCAGATTCTGATTTCTCACTTATCCACGCAGACCCTGTACTCTGGCCAAACTGACCTCACCCCGGATCACATTTTTCTATTCTTGCCTTTGCGAAGTCTTAAGTCCTGTTCTTCCTTATTCTGGGGTTTCTAATCCCTACTGTTGTCTCTGCACTTTCTCTCCAGCTGTGGAAATTCTGCTTATCTTTCTAAGGCCCAGCTCAAATTTACCTTCTTCAGAGGAACTTTTAAAAATCGTTTAACTGGCATATCTAGGAGGCAGCCTAGTATAGTAGAAATAGATTGGGTTTTGAAGTTTCTATTGGTTATCTATTGTTGCATAACAAACTGCCCCCAAATTTGGTGGCTTAAAACAGTGATCATTTTGGGGCCAGCCTGGTGGCACAGCGGTTAAGTTTGCACGTTCTGCTTTGGCGGTCCGGGGATCCCTGGTTCGGATCCTGGATGCGGACCTGCGCACTGCTGTCAAGCCATGCTGTGACAGGCATCCCACATATAAAGTAGAGGAAGACAGGCACGGATGTTAGCTCAGGGCTATCTTCCTCAGCAAAAAGAGAAGGATTGATGGTGGATGTTAGCTCAGGACTAATCTTCCTCAAAAACAAACAAACGAAAATAGTGATCATTTGTTTCTCATAGTTCTGTGAGTTGGCTAGACTGTTACTCTGCTGGGTTTTCCTGGGTTTATTTATGTGGCTGCATTTACCTGGTAGGTTAACTGGGGGCTGAGTGTGGCTAGGAGAGCTGGGCACCTCTCTTTCATTCTCAAGGAGGCTAGACTAGATTTCTTCACATATAGTCTCAGGGCAGCATTCCAAGAGGGTAAGCCCCAATGCAAAAGAGCTTTCCAAGCTTGTGTGTCTCACATTTGCTGGTGTCCCATTGGCCAAACAAGTCACATAATCAAGCTCAGAGTCAATAAAGGAAGAGACCACATGTGACGTGGATATCAGGAGATGTGATTCATTAGTGGCCATTAGTGTAACAATCTGCCACAGTGTACCCACTGGTCCCAGTGATTCACATTCCTCCCTTATGCAAAATATACTGACCACCTCCCAAGACCCCAAAGTCTCATCTATTTCATGGCATCAAGCTCCAGGTCCATGATCTCATAACTTATGTTAGGTCCAGATGTGGATGTGGCTCCAGAGTTGCAGCCCCTCTTAATCCAGGGACCTGGGAACTAAAAGTACAAGTTATCTACCCCAACCCCACCACCACTACACATCCAACGTACAATGGTGAGTCAGGAACAAGATAACTACAATAGTCACTTCCATTAAAAAGAGGGAGGAGGAGGGGCTGGGCCCATGGCTGAGTGGTTAAGTTTGTGCACTCTGCTTCAGGGGCCCAGGGTTTTGCCAGTTCATATCCTGGGCGTGGACCTAGCACCACTCATCAAGCTGTGCTGAGGCGGCATTCCACATGCCACAACTGGAAGGACCCACAACTAAAATATACAACCATGTACTGGGGGCTTTGGGGGGAAGAAGGAAAAATAAAATCTTTAAAAAGGAAAAAAAGGGGCTGACTTGGTGGCACAGCAGTTAAGTTCGAATGTTCTGCTTTGGCAGCCCAGGGTCCACTGGTTCAGTGTGGACCTATGCACTGCTTGTGAAGCCATGCTGTAGCAGGCGTCCCACATAAAATAGAAGAAGATGGGCACGGATGTTAGGTCAGGGCCAATCTTCCTCAGCAAAAAAGAGGAGGATTAGGGGCTGGCCCCATGGCCGAGTGGTTAAGTTCACGCGCTCCGCTGCAGGCGGTCCAGTGCTTCGTTAGTTCGAATCCTGGGCGTGGACATGGCACTGCTCATCAAACCATGCTGAGGCAGCGTCCCACATGCCACAACTAGAAGGACCCACAACGAAGAATATACTACTATGTACCAGGGGACTTTGGGGAGAAAAAGGAAAAAAATAAAATCTTTAAAAAAAAAAAAAGGGGAGGATTGGCAGCAGATGTTAGCTCAGGGCTAATCTTCCTCAAAAAAAAAAAAGAACAAAACTTTTTGGGATTTCTGTGAATCTCATTAGAGTTTATTCCATATCCTAACAACAACATCCATAATTCTTTTTGAGACAGACCTCTCTACTTTAGGTTAGTGTGAGGCTGCCATGGGACAATACCCTTATAGTTCTTAAAAGACCCTTTGTCTACCTAAGGAGTCTACTAGGCATCACTTTAAATATTTAGGTCTTTACAAAAGTTCTTATAGCCGTACTTTTTATTTGGTCTTTTTTCTAATACCATTTCTTACTTTGAGAATCTTTTCCTGGAGAGACTGGAAAAGTGAATCAGTTTTATTTTCAACCTAGCAAGTCTTTGATCCTTTATTGTTCCTCTAAATTATTCTTCCAAACTAAACAATTCTCCCTTTAGCTCATCTCTTTCTTGTTACCTTGTCATATGCAGTGAAAAAACTCCAGCTTACATTTGCTGCATTCTGCTGGAAAATCTCCTTATCCAGATCCATAAGTTTATTAGATATATTTTCTGTCTTTCAAGTTACCATAGGCAACCATTTTGCCAATTGTCTCACGACCTTAAAAACCAGTATGTCCTGTCCGAGTCCTGCAGGAACAATCTCCTTACTGCCTTTCCAGCTTTTACTAAGAGCTTGCTTTTTCTTCAGCCTTTTCCTTTAGCCCCCACCATTCAGACTCAAAGCCATTGACGCATATTTGAGGCTTTTGTGAGCAGCACCCCATTCCTAGATATACGGTTTCTGTATCAGATATCTATTGCTGCATAGCGAACTACCCTAAAATTTAGTGACTTGAAACAACCATTTTATTTCTTACCATTCTGTGGATTGGCTAGATGCTTGTTCTGCCTGGGGTCACTCATGTCACTGCTTTGGACAAGCCTTAATGTATAAGCACTTATCAGGCTTTGCTTGTGTCACATTTGCTAATGTCTTTTTGGCCAAAGTCAGTCACATAGCCAAGCCCAGAGTTAGTGTCGAAGGAACTATACAGGAGCTTGGAAACCAAGAGGCATGATTCACATGGGGCCATTTATAACAGATTCTAACAGATTTCCATTTCCACCTTACGGTGTGCCTTTAGGCAAGTCATTTAACTATATGCAACAATTTTCTTACCTGTAAAAAGAGGTTGGTAATACCTATCGTAGGGGGGTTATGAGGTTTAAATTTTTTAGTAATTACTGATTTTATTATTATTATAAAAGTAATAGTTTTATCATTGTAGAAAATGTACAAACTATAGAAAAATACAAAAAAGAAACAAACATCTCCTGAAATCCCATCTGATACAGTATGATACTGTAAGCTCCGCAAGGGCCTTCTCTATCTTATTTACTACTTAAGGTGTATATCTTAGTTCTTATTCTGAAAGGTAAGGTCCTTGAAGAAAGAGACCACATTTTATTCATCTCTGTAAAGCCCATAGCTTTGCATTTAGGATTAAAAGAGGTAATGTATAAAACTACTTGGCTTAATGTCTGACACAGCTTATGTTCCCACTTAAATTTGAGTTCTGTTAGATACTAGTAAGGATTCTCAGAAATCCTAAAGTTACGGAAGCAGGGGAGGTATACTGAGAACAAAGTATCTAAATGGAATAGTGGAAGGTGGCCCTCCACTGGCCAGCTTCTCTCTGGGGAATCCTGGTTACTCCTGGGATAGAGAGTGAGCAAGATTATAGAGAAGGAAGGTGTCAAGATCTGCTTGTAGGTCCCAAACTACTCAGTGGGGAGAACTCTATAAAAAACTTCATAAGAAAGGAATAATAAAAAAACAGACTAATCACTGAAATATTTTATTGTTGAAAACTGAAGTCCAATATTACTGATAAGAGGGTATTTTTGACACTCAGACAATCTTTCCTTTATGTTTTAGTCAAAGAAGTTTGGCAGAGATCACAGAACTTATCCATACTGCTCTCCTTGTACATCGTGGGATAGTAAATTTAAATGAATTGCAATCTTCTGATGGGCCACTGAAAGACATGCAATTTGGAAATAAAATAGCTATCCTGAGTGGAGACTTTCTTCTAGCAAATGCCTGCAATGGACTAGCTCTGCTACAGAACACCAAGGTAAAGCAGAGTTTGCCTCGGTCTGGGTAACCTTTAGGTGGCTCTTGGTTGATGGCTGGAGCCACGGAGGTCTGTGCACCCAACGCCCCTCATGTGGATGCTCAGTAAAGTTTTGCTGCTGTTGATGCAGTGTCAACACCCGGTAAAAGTGGTAAATGCTAAGAAAGTTTTGAAATGAGTTTATATTTTTTTCTGATTATAAATGAAATTATTTGTTAATTATAAGATAGTATTAAATATTTAATATAAAGAAGATATAAATAAATATTACCTATTTCACTACCCAGAGATAATCATTATTAGTTAATATTTTGATGTATTTCCTTTCAGTCTTCTGTTTGTTTGTTTATTCCTACCTTTATGTATGTGAATTTTTTTTGTAACATAGGTAACAACTTGCACATATAAGGCTTTTGTAAAATTCTGCTTGTTTTTTCCCACTTCATATTATGACATGGGCATTTTCCCATGTTATTAACACTTTTCATAGACTTTTTAATGGTTGTATATTAAATTATTTAGATGAAATATTTATTTAACAAATTCCTCATTTTTGGAATTTAGGTTGCTTCTAATTTTTTACTATCATAAATAAATCTGAAGTAAACATCTTTACACATCAATTTCCTCATTCCAGATTATTTCTTTAAGATAAATACCTAAAAGTGGTTCAAAGGGTTTAAACATTTTTACTGTTCTTGATACATATTGCCAAGCTGCTTTCTAGAAAGACTGTAGAGGTGTTTCTTATATGTTAGTTAGAATTAGGTTTGACTATAAAATAACAGTAGCCTAAACAAGATAGGAGTTTATTTTTTCTCATGTAAAAACATCCAGGACTAGTCAGTCCAAGGTTAGAATGGTGATTCTACAAAGTCAGGAACCCAGGCTCCTTCTGTCTTACCACTTTATGGCCCAAGGTAGTTGTCATCATGTTCTCACTCCTGTCAGTTGGAAGGAAGCAGAGTCTGGGGGTGGGGGTGGGGGTGGAGCAGAGCAGGGCAGATCTCCTTCCCCTGAAGGTCAAGTGAGTATACCTCCTGGTTTGCTAAGGACAGTCTCAGTCTAAGTCTGCTCTCCCAGAATCCTATCTGACTTAGCATTTGTCCTGGATTTTTCATTTTTAACAGAATGATTACTAATAATTACATTAGAATAAACCAGGGTGGGTTTCATAGATCTCCACTTCATATGTCCAGCCTCTGCCTCAGTTTTTGTCTAGTGTAGGCTAATAGTGTGTGAGATCCATGTACAGTGGAAAGAGTTCTCATGTTAACGTCTTATTATATCTGAAAGACAACCAGCAATAACTCATCTCTTTTCCCAACCCTTTCAGACACCTCCCAATCAGGAACAGAATGTAGGGCAATTGCTGATACAACAAAGTGCACTGAATGTCTAAGGACAGGTATCTCCTTCCTGTCTAGGGTGGCAGAAGGATTTGACACTGCTGCCCCAGCTGGTCACTTAGTGTTTCACCCCGTTGTACTATGGCCCATGCATAGGCTTCAAGAGTCACAAAGCCACCAAGTACCAGTCCAAAATCTCAGTGGGAAATAGTGTAAGTTAGAGGTTTGGTGTCTATAAAATATGTATGAGAAATCAAGGCTGATCAGTTCTTTGCAGAGGGAGTAGACTGAGCCTGCTTGCTTGTATGATGTAAGCCTATAGCTGTTTTATTGTTTGGCAACACTTTGTTTTTGCAATAAACCCTTTTGGCAGCAGTAAGCTCAACATAATTAGAGTATATGTTTCATTTTTTAAAAGTACTGAATTTTTGTTTCTTGAGAAAGTTGGTAAGGAATGTGTAACTTGCACAAAATGTTTGTTGATATTTACTATCCTCTGTGGAGGCCATAGCAGTGTCACTGACCACATGAAAACAAGAAGAGTCAAATCTGCTGAAAAAGTGCCAAGATCTACTTCCAAAGTTAGTAGTTACTTTAAGGAGACTTCCTGAAGATGATGATTTGATACATGCAGTTGCAGAAGATATATATGCATAGCAGTCTGTGAAGTCTAACTTTTATTTAGATAAATTACTATTCTTCCAAGTTAATTTCACTCATTCTTGACTACAAGTTTTTATGTGCACGTAGAAAAAGGGAAGCAATAGCTTTGTTTGTTAGCTCTATTGGCAGGAGAAGAACTTGGCAAAAAAGTTAAATAATTCCAGTTTTAGTTGTCTGTCATCAGCTACTTTAAACAATTAAATCATTTTAGTTAATTCTAAAAATGATTTATTTTTTCTATCCATTCATGGAATCAAGGTAAAGCTTTTGGAAGTATATTCTGTCAGAGGTAAAACCATTATGAGTGAGATTGGAAATTCAGTTTGAAAGTTCAATATGGGAGATAAAATTATTTGTTTATAATAATAATAAAGTACAAATTTTGGTGAAACACACACTGTTATGGCAAAAACAATGTTCTCCCTACATTGAGAAACCTGTGAGTAGTTGATTTGGTTATGGCATGCCCATAATTCATAATTGCATCCAAACAAGCGTCAACGTTATACTAATTAAAATAGAAGCTATTGTTATAAAAATTGACAAATATCTTTATAGTCAGAGTCTCTGAAGTACAAGATTTGAGGGATATATCTGATGTTGAGTATAAAAATACACTTCAGCGCTGCAGTATGTGCTTTCTCTCTTTGTTGCCTGTCATCAATGAGATTTTTGAAATCTTTATACCCAACAATGGTATTGAACTTTGCTATAAATGGGTCATCAAAATTTTCGTGATATTTTGTTCAAAATCAGTTAGAAATCTTTTTTTTTTTTTGAGGAAGATTAGCCCTGAGCTAACTCCCGCCAGTCCTCTTTTTGCTGAGGAAGACTGGCCCTGAGCTAACATCCATGCCCATCTTCCTCTACTTTATATGTGGGACGCCTACCACAGCATGGCGTGCCAAGCGGTGCCATGTCTGCACCCGGGATCCAAACCGGCAAACCTCAGGCCACTGAAGCGGAACATGCGCACTTAACTGCTGCGCCACTGGGCCAGCCCCCATCAGTTAGAAATCTTAAATCAAGTGTTCAACAAATGGAACAGCAAATGAAGCTTTTAGGGAATTATAATTAATGAAAACAAAGCTTCCATTGGAATTTTTCCCTACAATAGCAAGGAAAGAACTGAACAAAATAAATTGTAACAACTCAAATACTACACAGGATTAAATTTTGCAATTCTATAATTATGATCTGGAATATCTCACCTTGCAGGAAGAATCTTTTGGTCGTGCTCCTCTTTTGAATAAATTATGCATACACACACAGGAATGAAATGAAATTGAGAAAGGCTAGATTTTGCATCTAATTTTGGCAAAACATTCAAAAGAATCATAGAAACAATTTATCTGACAAGTGTTGTCTTATAAAAATAAAAACATTTGTCAAAGAAAGGTACTCTGAAGGAAACAAAAAAAGACAGTACCTTGAAAATATTTGAGCTGGAGTAGTTACACTTTTCATCATTAAAAAAATTAGAATTGAGTATCCCTGCCATTTAGCAAATTTGCTCTGAGCTTACCAGGTTAACTCAGAACCTGTAGAAAGAACATTTTCTCAATTAAAGATATAGTGATCTACCAATAAGAATCAATTGAAGGTATCAATAATTTCAAATTAATTAATCATACAGTGCAACTGTGAAGAATATTACTGGCAGTTTTGTTTTAAAATGCCATATATTAAAAAGCACATTCTTCAGAAAAAGCCAGTTACACAATATTAGAGACAGATATGGCTAAGAAACAAATTAAAGTGTGTGAATATGTACCAAGAATAATTATTCTACTGTCTGTTTTTTAATATTCAGGTAATCAATGTAAAGAAATTCTTTTTCATTTTGTTTTAATGTACATAGATATGTGTTATTTCTATTTCTTTTGAAATTTTATTTTTGAAAATAGTTTTTGAGTAGAACTAGTTAACAAGTCCACCAATATGATAAAATCGACTGTTGGTGAATAAATGCAAATTTCAAAAAGTATAAAATTTTAATTATTTTAGCACTCCCTTTTACTCTCAAGTGTCCCAGTTTGGATAATAAATTATATAGTGTCATCACTTTAAAGACATTTCTCAGAAGCTATCTGAGATCCTTCTGCTTACATCCTTTTGACCAGAATTTAGTGATATGGCCACACTTAGCTGTAAGGGAGTCTAGGAAATGTAGACTTTATTGTGGATAACCATATACCCTGCCAAAAATCTGGAAGATTCAGAGAAGGGAGATAAGTAGCATTCTTCCCTACCTTCCCATCATATTTTAAGCTACATATTTTCGTAAGATAGACCTGCTGATTTTTAGAAAATAGTATAGTACCTTTAATATATAGTTTATATTCACGTGAAAAGGAAGCTAAAGTAAGAAATGAATTGGGGTCCGGCCCCATGTCCTAGTGGTTAAGTTTGCGCACTCTGCTTCCGTGGCCCAGGGTTTCTCTGGTTCAGATCCTGGGTGCGGACACGGCAGCACTCATCAACCCATGTTGAGGTGGCATCCCACATAGCACAACCAGAGGCACTCACAACTAGAATATACAACTATGTACTGGGGCCCTTTGGGGAGAAGAAGAAAAAGGGAAAAAAAAAAAAGATTGGCAACAGATGTTAGCTCAAGTGCCAATCTTTTTTTTTTTTTTTTTTTTTTGTGGAAGATTAGCCCTGAGCTAACTACTGCCAGTCCTCCTCTTTTTGCTGAGGAAGCCTGGCCCTGAGCTAACATCGTGCCCATCTTCCTCTACTTTATAAGTGGGACGCCTACCACAGCATGGCTTGCCAAGCGGTGCCATGTCCACACCCGGGATCTGAACTGGCGAACCCCGGGCCGCTGAGAAGCAGAACGTGCGAACTTAACCGCTGCACCACCGGGCCAGCCCCTCAGATGCCAATCTTTAAAGAAAATAAAAAAAGAAATGAATTGGCCATATAAAATGGAATAATAGATAATCTCAAATCTCTCTCCAGAGATTTATTGCCTTTTGGACA